CAGAGCATAATTTGCATTGTACTCAATGCACTAAGAACGAGATACATGGTTGCCCATATTCGACGGACCTTTGGGCTGAGAGCGGCGTTTTTGGGATGTTCTTGGGGACCTCTCAACACTGGCTCGTACGGCAGCAATATTCTCGGCCGATCGCCTTGTCGACTTTTATATGGCCTCTTCGGATTAGAAAGAGCCTTATCAGTCGAAAATTTTTCGTATAAACGCTTAATGGTGTTCTTAGAAGGCGCACTTCTCACATTTTTTAATGTTTTAAAAGCACGTTGAGATTTCACAATTGACTTCTTGTAAATTTCAACTATTTGTGAGCGCTTGCGTGTATTGGTTCATGGTAAAAATCTGCTTGGACTGACGCTTCAAACGCGGTATGTCATTAAGCGATGTAACATCTCTATCAAAGGTTATGGCGTTGCCAGATGAGTCCGTCGAATATGGGCAACCCTGTACATATTTTCTTCCATCTGAGCAGACTATCGATCTTTAAGCAATTGCTACCCAGACAATCACGTTTTTATTTCAGTTCATTTACTTTTTTCGTCTGGGAGTAAAAGCTCATTTCACCTATTGCCCTACTGTCAATTTTTTTATGTTTCCAAAAAGAACATTTCTTTCTTTGTTTTTAATGATTGTGTTCGTTGGTTCCACTTCAAAAGTGGACACAATCCCCTTAGGCACTATGACCGATTTCTGTATGGACAATTTACAAAAATAATTAATTTTAGAAATCTTTGTTTCGCGGTAGCCGGTGCAGGACATACCCAGAGGAGAAAATCTAATTTTTTTCGCACACCCAGTTGGTTTGGGCATACCCATTATTATATGGGTTTTGTGGGTATTAAGACCGTAATGGAATGGGGATTATGTCCAAGAAAAAAAACCGGTCATAATAATGGGTATGACCAAAGACTTTCTCCTCTGGGAATGTCCGGCACCGGCTAACACGAACCGATATTTTTTTCCATTTTAAATAAAAGTGTAAATAGGGGTGTCGGAAATATATCTCACCGAGTTGGGTCGATTTAGTCTGCCCATTTTTATATGTAACTTGCTGAACCCGGTGCGCTTCGCTACCCCTTTTGATTTTATATGCATTCAAAATTTTATTTACGAATATATGTTGGTCAAAAAAAAAACAAATTTAAAAATTTAAAAAAAAAAAAAAACTATTGCACTACTTTAATGCGTAAATAACCAAAACCATTAGAAAAGCAGTAACATGACATACATACACGAAGGGTTTGTCATTCGGATTTATTTATTTCATAGCAAATACCAAGCGTGCAGTAAACTGCAATCTTTTGAAGTTGAGTGGCATTTCTATTGCAATTAGTGAATTCGAGACAGCAACATACTTCGCCGTAATAAGCGTATTTCAAATCAATTGTTGTGTTGTTTTTTAGTGTTAGCCTAAGGCGTTGTGGGTCAATGGTTCTTATTAAAATCATATCCCAATCTGATCCGATTTAAATATAATTAAACAAAAAAAAAAATACTTTTACACCAAACTCCGCCACACCTTTCATTTTTCATTGAAATTGGTGCGTTAAATATGGGAAATCGGCCGATAATATATATGGGAGCTATATCCAAATCTTAACTAATTTCCAATTAATTTGTCACATTCATTATTGTAACCACACATTCCACACATTCTGAATTTCATTGGTATCGGTCATATATATCATGTTTGGTGCATAGCATATATGAAATCGGCCGAAATATATATGTTAGCTATATCCAAACCTCAACTGATTTCAATATAATTTGGCAATTTTTTCTGGTGCCAGATTTTGTCTCTCTCGCTTTGGGTGCATCAAATATTTGAAATCGGCTGAGTATATATATGGGAGCTATAATCAAATCTGAGGGTATTTGAATATAATTTGTCAAATTTATTTTTGTACCAAATTTAGCCAATCATGCCGAATTTCATTGGAATCGGAAATACATATTGTGTTTGAGGCATCAAATGAACGAAATCGGTTGAAAATATATATGGGAGCTATATCCAAATCTGAACCGATTACAATATAATTTGGCAAACATATTTTTGTTCCACATTGGTTCCACATGGTGCATAAAATACATGAAATCGGTCGAAAATATATATGAGAGCTATATCCAAATCTGAACCGATTTTAATATAATTTGACAAATGTATATTTGTTTTAATTTCCGCTACACATTCCAAATTTCATTGAAATTAGAGATACATAGCGTGTTTGGTGCATCAAATACATGAAATCGGTCGAAAATATATATGGGAGCTATATCCAAATCTGAACCGATTTCAATTTAATTTGATAAAATCTATCACACGTTTCAAATTTCATTGAAATTGGGGATACATAGCGTGTTTGGTGCATCAAATGCTTGAAATCGGCCGAAAATATATATGGGAGCTATATCCAAATCTGAACCGATTTCAATATAATTTGACAAATTTATTTTCGGATTAAATCCCGTCACATATTCCAAATTTCATTGGAATCGAACATTCATATTGTGTTTGAGGCATCAAATGAACGAAATCGGTTGAAAATATATATGGGAGCTATATCCAAATCTGAACCGATTACAATATAATTTGGCAAACATATTTTTGTTACACATTCCGTTACGTATTCCAAATTTGAAGACTGTATTTTCAACCAATCAATAGATGTGTGCATATAAAATCTAAATTTTTGGGAGGTACCTCCGATTCTGATGCTATATCTCCAGTTCCAAGTGGAAATTCAAAAATGTATATAGCCTATGTTATTTTCAGGCGATGTTGCAGTATATATGGAAATTTTCAGGATAATCTATTCAGCGGTTTTCGAGTCCATGAATTACAAACAAACAAACATACAAACATTTTCCTCTTTTATAGATTTAGACTAGCTGAACCCGGTGCGCTTCGCTACCCCTTTTGATTTTATATGCATTCAAAATTTTATAAACAAATATATGTTGGCTTAAAAAAATAAAACAAATTTAAAAATTAAAAAAAAAATATATATTGCAATACTTTAATGCGTAAATAAACAAATAGCTCGGTCTACCAACACGTGAACATGACTGGAACAGCTGATCATGAGAAAAGCAGAAACATGCCAAATTTAGTCCGCATATACGATGTGTTTGTCCTTCGGATTTATTAATTTCATAGCAAATGCCAAGGGTGCAGGAAACTGCCATCTTTAGAAGTTAAGTGGTATTTCCGTTGCAATTAGAGAATTCGAGGTAGCAACATACTTGCCCGTAAAAATCGTATCCTCAATTAAATTGTTGTTTAGTTGTTTACCGTTAACCTAATACCATTGCAAAGGCGTTGTGGGTCAATGCTTCTTAATAAAATAATATACCAATCTGAACCAATTTCAATATAATATATAATTTGACAAAATTTACTTTTACATCGAATTCCGCCACACTTTCCATATTTCATTGGAATCGAACTTACATATCGTGTTTGCTGCATCAAATAAACGAAATCGGTCGAAAATATATATGGAAGCTATATCAAAATGTGAACCGATTTCAATATAATTTGGCAAATTTATTTTTGTTTCAAATTGCGTTACGCATTCCAAATTTGGATTCTGTATCTGTAATCGATCAGTATATATGTGAATATAAAATCTAAATTTTTGGGAAGTACCTCCGATTCTGATGCTATATCTCTTGTTCCAAGTGGAATATCAAAATTTTGTATAACCTACGTTACTTTCAGGCGATGTTGTAGTATACTTGGAAATTTTCAAGAAAATCAGTTCAGCGGTTTTAGAGTTCATAAATTACAAACAAACAAACATACAAACATTTCCTCTTTTATAGATATAGATCACGATACAGGTCACAATTATGACTCAAAATTCAGGAAATTTTGCCTTGAGTAACAGTTAGTGTCAGAATAAAAACCCTTAGGGCTGAAACGGACCAACAAGAGATTTTTCTGATTTTGTAGTCTCTCAGGTTATAATTATATTTCGCGTGGTGTTTGAGTTTGGAACAGCGAAGAAAAGCATCTGTTGGGATCGACACAGCACAGTGGATGAAATGGACCCCACCTTTTGTGTGAAATTTTCATTTTCAAACACAATATTTTACTTTGTTTTAATTTTGTGAATGAACGATTGATATTTTTTGATTGTCTACTTTAGCATTTCGTTTTGTTTGTGTAGGAGTTAGGTGAACCAAAATGTACCTATTGAAAAAAGCTCTTTTTGTTTACTTACGTACGAAAACAAAAAATTCTACTTCTTTGACATCTGCTTTGCAATTGGAAGAAAAATAAGTTTTCTGAACAGCAGTAAGTCTTTATTCAAGTTAGGCTTCCTTTTCATTGGGCTATCTTTACATTTTTTTAAAGATAGAAACTTTCGTAAAAGTTAACGCAGTGATACCGCTCTCACAAATCCAATTACTACCTTTACCCGCCAGGTTTATAGAATTTGCAACCTACAATCTGGAGGAACACTACTCTTTACAGCGCCAACGATCTAGTAGACTCAGGATCACAATCCATATTTGCTCCTGAGAATATGAAAATCTTTTTGAAGTTACCTACATGGAACGATTTAGTTCATGAAGCCAATTTCTCAACGAGAAATCAAAGAAATGTTGCCCTCCAAATTCGACCCCAGCTTTAAATTGGAAGTTTTGGGTCCAGTTTTAAAGACCCACAGCACATTCAAAGTTATCTGGAATAGTTTTAGCTATTTTTTCTGATTACAGTGACTGCCAGCTGTACTATGTGAAAAATTCTCAGCCAGAGAACATCATAAGCTAATCAAGGGCAAATCAACAGCATATTTATTAAGCTTTCATAACTTTGCTGGCAGTAAATTAAAACATGGTTTGCAATTAATTACGACTGCCAAAATAGGTTAGGGAACCCATTATACCTGATTTGTTTTTATTTTGCTGCGAACACATTAAATTATAACAGCACCATGTAAAACGGCTTACAGATTTAACATGCCCTCCATGTGAAATTTGTTTATATGTATCCATAAGCTTCATTTTATTTGTTTAACATATTAGCAGATCTCCGACATTTTACTGAATATTCGACTTCTATCCATTTCGTGTTCATCTGATTTGTCCATTTCCATTGCTCCCACTCTCTCATAAAATTTTTCAATTTCCTTTTCCAATTTCTTGCTGTCATAGCTTTTGAACAATTCATCCAGTTTTTTGGCCTCGGGAGTAGCATCTTCCTTTTCATATTTGTCCGTAAGCTCAACGAATTTCTCTAATAAGTCGATCGACTTATAGTAGCACACGCCTTCCTCATTTTTAAATTCTTCATATGCGGAAATATATTCTTCTAATATTATGGCAAAATGAAATGCTTATCGACATGATATTTACCTGGCTTAAATCGGCGAGGGATAACATTAGGAGAAATAATTTCATTTTTCACAGAAAGGTGACTATACTTTAGGAAAAGTGATACTGCCATAATAAACGGAATTGCAAATTATTTATATGAACATAGCCAATAGGAACACAAGAAATAGCTGTGACCAAAAAATTCTTATCTGCTAAAACGCAAAGTTTTTACTATCAGTGAGTTGCTCCTAATATGGCCCGATGTCAATTGAGTTGAATGTAAACAAACAGTAACTGTACAAACACGAGTTTGGAATTTGTATGTGAATATTGGAATGATCTCCCATAGGGCTTATCTTTAGCCACATGACTCATTGAGTGATTATATCACTCAATAATTATTCTTTTTTTTTTTTGTTAAATTAATTTTTCAACATCTGCCATTCAAAAATTCACGGCCCAATTTCATTGAAGTGTTTTAAGAAGTAATTTCTTGGTCAATATTTTTTTCATCGAATGTTTTAAATATCAGAATTATATTCGATGCGGTGCAAACTAAATGGTGTCCCTATAAGCTGCAAAATTTTTAAAAATTTGAACAATTGTTATTGTTTGCTATTAGAAGGCACGAGGTTATTAAAAACGGAGCGCCACACGATTGAATGAGTTCGATTGAATGAGTATTGGAGAGACAACACGAAAATGCTGATTTTGAAAAATGATTAACTCACTTGTATGATCGAAAAGCGACTCGAAAATGACTCAAATGAGTAAAAATAGACCAATTTAATATACAACAACAAAATGTAGGGGAACCGCAAATCAATCATTGAGATGTGCAAAATGTGACTAATTTTTCCGTTATTTATTATAGTATTGCGATCATCTAGAGATTGAAAAATGATTAGTCTTAAAAAGATTTAAGTCTTAAAGATTTAGTCTTAAAAGATAATTATGTATATTTTATCATATTTTGCACAGACAAGTGCTTAATAATTGAAAAAAATATATATTTTAAAAAGTGTACGTTTATCAGTTTGTTTGTATACTTATTAATTTTTATAAAGAATAATGTCAGCCAGCCAAATTAAAAAAATAGAAAAGGATGGAAAAAAGAGCTCGAAAAATTAGTTTTGCAAAAAAGAAGTTAAGCTGAAGATGTGAATAATGAAGAGAATGTCCAGGACCGTGAAAGAATTTTGAAGAGAACGTCGAGCCAATTCAAAATTTTACTGAAGAAAGTGCTGAAAATTAGGGGTTTTAAGAAAGTATAGAAAATAGGGTCTCTGATTGATTTATTTACTACTCTAAAAACTATTAATACTTATATATTTTTGGTAACCTATTTCCAGAAAGAGCTTATTGCAAAAACCGGCGGTGAAGGAGCCCCATAATTCTTTCGGGCTACCATTCGAAAGGTTTTTTCCGATAATTTAGTTGGAAGGGGACCAGTCTAAAGTCGAGTGCAGAAAAGTACTATTTAGTGACAGTAATCAAAAGTAAGTTTGTCTTTTTAACACGTATATAAAGAATTAGTAAAATGGACAGACTGGTACATATTTTTTATTTCAGATATTTGTTATCTCAAATACTCAATCAACGACAGGGATATGAACACAATCCTACAGAAACATTTTGTTCACGCTAGAGACCGGGTTACCGGATTGATTTTTCATTTTTTACCGGATTGATTTTTCATTTTTCGTTATATGGGGGCTATACGAAAACCTGGACCTGCACTGACAATTATCTGTCACAGGCTGTAGTTCCCATTACGTTTCCCATTACAACTTCAAATAACCAATTTGAAACAATTCCGGATAATAATGTCGCTAAAATCATCAAAATACCGAATATAGGGAGGTACTGTTATATGGGGGCTATACAAAGACGTGGATCTGCACTGACAATTTTCTGTCTTAGGCTGTAGTATCCATTTCGAATTTCAAATACCAATGTTGAAACAATTCTTCAAAATACCGAATATCGGGAGGTACCGATATATGGGGCCTATATGAAAACGTGGCTATGGGGGCTATATGAAAACGTGGACCTACATGGCCCATTTACAAACTTAACCTGCCTACTAGTAAAATAAACATGTGTGTAAAATTGTATCTTTCTATCTCAATCCGTTCAAACGATAGCGTGATTACAACAGACAGACGGACATCGCTAAATCGACTTAGAATTTTACGCTGATCAAGAATATGTATACTTTGTTGGGTCTGACTTGATTATTTCGAGGAGTTACAAACGGAATGACAAAGTTAATATACCCTCCATAGTATGGTGGAGGGCATAAAAATGGAAAGACATCGAGGACAAACCACTGTTGAAGTGAGAAATTTAGTAATTAAACATTACAAAAAGCATAAATCGCTAAGGGAGATATCTGAGATTGCTAATAGAAGCCGATCTACAGTTCCGTACATCATAAGACGGTGGGTGTGTAGAAAATAAGTAAAAAACGGCAAATAATAAAATATTTGCATTGAGTGATGAGAAGTATATTTTACGGCAGATCAAAAAGGGTCCATTTTTGGATGCACCGAAGTTCGCAAAAATTGCTGAAAAGGATTTGGGAAAAGTATGTTGTCCTTAAACAATAAGAAATATATTGCATAAGTCGAATTATAATGGAAGAAGAGCTAGACAATGGAAGAAGAGCTAGAAGTAAGATTGGGATTTGCCAAGGAGCACATATCAAAACATTTTTGGTTCCGATGGCAGACCTTATGTATGTACAAAGAAAGTTTGCCACTATGTAAGAAAAGCTCGGCCTTCACGAAGATTATTATTTTTATCAAGACAATGATCCGAAACACAAGGCTTATAAAGTGAGGTCATGGCTGCTGTATAAATGTGCACCAGCTCAGAGTCCAGACTTAAACCCCATAGAGAATTTATGGAGCTGTCTCGATGGAAAATTCGGCCTACATTCCATATTTTGCAAAGAAGATTTGGAGAAAGCTTTGTTGGAAGAATGACAAAAAATTGAACCTAGCTTTTGGTAAAAACTATGCCAAATAGACAACAAATGGTAAAAAGGTAAAGGAACCCATACAAAATACTAATATCTAGAAATACTTGAATACATTTTTCTTTAGCATTACGAGTTTTGCTTGGAGCTATTGTAATTTAGGTAGTAGGAAAATCTGTTTCGTCAAATGCCGATGCCTTCTTACCTATGTTTACCTTAATTCAAATTGTGCGCATAATTAAGGACATCTAATTTTTCATAGAAACTTCAAAATTTTATAGAAAACTATTAATATTGTTATTGCAAAAACTTTGTTATCAATTACAGCTTGAATTCCGCAGCTTTTTCGTTTCAGAGTTAAGATCATCAAAAATTTTCAATATAATAAGGGCAACTTTCGATTTGACAATTTGTTATAAGTTCTCAATAAGACCAGGACTACATGATAGCCATTCCAGAGCTCTCGCGGAATTTTCTGTAAATCATTACTTCACGTGACGGGATGTGTGCTTCGGGTCGTTGTCCTGCTGAAATATCCATGTGACAGGCATATTTTCGTCAAAGTATGGTAACATTTTATCGTTAAGAATTCTACATAACTGGAACTGATCCAAATTACCCTCAAACTTGTATAACAGTCCTATGCCGCGTGATAACATAGCACCCCAGAGCATAATTTGCATTGTACTCAATGCACTAAGAACGAGATACATGGTTGCCCATATTCGACGGACCTTTGGGCTGAGAGCGGCGTTTTTGGGATGTTCTTGGGGACCTCTCAACACTGGCTCGTACGGCAGCAATATTCTCGGCCGATCGCCTTGTCGACTTTTATATGGCCTCTTCGGATTAGAAAGAGCCTTATCAGTCGAAAATTTTTCGTATAAACGCTTAATGGTGTTCTTAGAAGGCGCACTTCTCACATTTTTTAATGTTTTAAAAGCACGTTGAGATTTCACAATTGACTTCTTGTAAATTTCAACTATTTGTGAGCGCTTGCGTGTATTGGTTCATGGTAAAAATCTGCTTGGACTGACGCTTCAAACGCGGTATGTCATTAAGCGATGTAACATCTCTATCAAAGGTTATGGCGTTGCCAGATGAGTCCGTCGAATATGGGCAACCCTGTACATATTTTCTTCCATCTGAGCAGACTATCGATCTTTAAGCAATTGCTACCCAGACAATCACGTTTTTATTTCAGTTCATTTACTTTTTTCGTCTGGGAGTAAAAGCTCATTTCACCTATTGCCCTACTGTCAATTTTTTTATGTTTCCAAAAAGAACATTTCTTTCTTTGTTTTTAATGATTGTGTTCGTTGGTTCCACTTCAAAAGTGGACACAATCCCCTTAGGCACTATGACCGATTTCTGTATGGACAATTTACAAAAATAATTAATTTTAGAAATCTTTGTTTCGCGGTAGCCGGTGCAGGACATACCCAGAGGAGAAAATCTAATTTTTTTCGCACACCCAGTTGGTTTGGGCATACCCATTATTATATGGGTTTTGTGGGTATTAAGACCGTAATGGAATGGGGATTATGTCCAAGAAAAAAAACCGGTCATAATAATGGGTATGACCAAAGACTTTCTCCTCTGGGAATGTCCGGCACCGGCTAACACGAACCGATATTTTTTTCCATTTTAAATAAAAGTGTAAATAGGGGTGTCGGAAATATATCTCACCGAGTTGGGTCGATTTAGTCTGCCCATTTTTATATGTAACTTGCTGAACCCGGTGCGCTTCGCTACCCCTTTTGATTTTATATGCATTCAAAATTTTATTTACGAATATATGTTGGTCAAAAAAAAAACAAATTTAAAAATTAAAAAAAAAAAAAAAAAACTATTGCACTACTTTAATGCGTAAATAACCAAAACCATTAGAAAAGCAGTAACATGACATACATACACGAAGGGTTTGTCATTCGGATTTATTTATTTCATAGCAAATACCAAGCGTGCAGTAAACTGCAATCTTTTGAAGTTGAGTGGCATTTCTATTGCAATTAGTGAATTCGAGACAGCAACATACTTCGCCGTAATAAGCGTATTTCAAATCAATTGTTGTGTTGTTTTTTAGTGTTAGCCTAAGGCGTTGTGGGTCAATGGTTCTTATTAAAATCATATCCCAATCTGATCCGATTTAAATATAATTAAACAAAAAAAAAATACTTTTACACCAAACTCCGCCACACCTTTCATTTTTCATTGAAATTGGTGCGTTAAATATGGGAAATCGGCCGATAATATATATGGGAGCTATATCCAAATCTTAACTAATTTCCAATTAATTTGTCACATTCATTATTGTAACCACACATTCCACACATTCTGAATTTCATTGGTATCGGTCATATATATCATGTTTGGTGCATAGCATATATGAAATCGGCCGAAATATATATGTTAGCTATATCCAAACCTCAACTGATTTCAATATAATTTGGCAATTTTTTCTGGTGCCAGATTTTGTCTCTCTCGCTTTGGGTGCATCAAATATTTGAAATCGGCTGAGTATATATATGGGAGCTATAATCAAATCTGAGGGTATTTGAATATAATTTGTCAAATTTATTTTTGTACCAAATTTAGCCAATCATGCCGAATTTCATTGGAATCGAAAATACATATTGTGTTTGAGGCATCAAATGAACGAAATCGGTTGAAAATATATATGGGAGCTATATCCAAATCTGAACCGATTACAATATAATTTGGCAAACATATTTTTGTTCCACATTGGTTCCACATGGTGCATAAAATACATGAAATCGGTCGAAAATATATATGAGAGCTATATCCAAATCTGAACCGATTTTAATATAATTTGACAAATGTATATTTGTTTTAATTTCCGCTACACATTCCAAATTTCATTGAAATTAGAGATACATAGCGTGTTTGGTGCATCAAATACATGAAATCGGTCGAAAATATATATGGGAGCTATATCCAAATCTGAACCGATTTCAATTTAATTTGATAAAATCTATCACACGTTTCAAATTTCATTGAAATTGGGGATACATAGCGTGTTTGGTGCATCAAATGCTTGAAATCGGCCGAAAATATATATGGGAGCTATATCCAAATCTGAACCGATTTCAATATAATTTGACAAATTTATTTTCGGATTAAATCCCGTCACATATTCCAAATTTCATTGGAATCGAACATTCATATTGTGTTTGAGGCATCAAATGAACGAAATCGGTTGAAAATATATATGGGAGCTATATCCAAATCTGAACCGATTACAATATAATTTGGCAAACATATTTTTGTTACACATTCCGTTACGTATTCCAAATTTGAAGACTGTATTTTCAACCAATCAATAGATGTGTGCATATAAAATCTAAATTTTTGGGAGGTACCTCCGATTCTGATGCTATATCTCCAGTTCCAAGTGGAAATTCAAAAATGTATATAGCCTATGTTATTTTCAGGCGATGTTGCAGTATATATGGAAATTTTCAGGATAATCTATTCAGCGGTTTTCGAGTCCATGAATTACAAACAAACAAACATACAAACATTTTCCTCTTTTATAGATTTAGACTAGCTGAACCCGGTGCGCTTCGCTACCCCTTTTGATTTTATATGCATTCAAAATTTTATAAACAAATATATGTTGGCTTAAAAAAATAAAACAAATTTAAAAATTAAAAAAAAAAATATATATTGCAATACTTTAATGCGTAAATAAACAAATAGCTCGGTCTACCAACACGTGAACATGACTGGAACAGCTGATCATGAGAAAAGCAGAAACATGCCAAATTTAGTCCGCATATACGATGTGTTTGTCCTTCGGATTTATTAATTTCATAGCAAATGCCAAGGGTGCAGGAAACTGCCATCTTTAGAAGTTAAGTGGTATTTCCGTTGCAATTAGAGAATTCGAGGTAGCAACATACTTGCCCGTAAAAATCGTATCCTCAATTAAATTGTTGTTTAGTTGTTTACCGTTAACCTAATACCATTGCAAAGGCGTTGTGGGTCAATGCTTCTTAATAAAATAATATACCAATCTGAACCAATTTCAATATAATATATAATTTGACAAAATTTACTTTTACATCGAATTCCGCCACACTTTCCATATTTCATTGGAATCGAACTTACATATCGTGTTTGCTGCATCAAATAAACGAAATCGGTCGAAAATATATATGGAAGCTATATCAAAATGTGAACCGATTTCAATATAATTTGGCAAATTTATTTTTGTTTCAAATTGCGTTACGCATTCCAAATTTGGATTCTGTATCTGTAATCGATCAGTATATATGTGAATATAAAATCTAAATTTTTGGGAAGTACCTCCGATTCTGATGCTATATCTCTTGTTCCAAGTGGAATATCAAAATTTTGTATAACCTACGTTACTTTCAGGCGATGTTGTAGTATACTTGGAAATTTTCAAGAAAATCAGTTCAGCGGTTTTAGAGTTCATAAATTACAAACAAACAAACATACAAACATTTCCTCTTTTATAGATATAGATCACGATACAGGTCACAATTATGACTCAAAATTCAGGAAATTTTGCCTTGAGTAACAGTTAGTGTCAGAATAAAAACCCTTAGGGCTGAAACGGACCAACAAGAGATTTTTCTGATTTTGTAGTCTCTCAGGTTATAATTATATTTCGCGTGGTGTTTGAGTTTGGAACAGCGAAGAAAAGCATCTGTTGGGATCGACACAGCACAGTGGATGAAATGGACCCCACCTTTTGTGTGAAATTTTCATTTTCAAACACAATATTTTACTTTGTTTTAATTTTGTGAATGAACGATTGATATTTTTTGATTGTCTACTTTAGCATTTCGTTTTGTTTGTGTAGGAGTTAGGTGAACCAAAATGTACCTATTGAAAAAAGCTCTTTTTGTTTACTTACGTACGAAAACAAAAAATTCTACTTCTTTGACATCTGCTTTGCAATTGGAAGAAAAATAAGTTTTCTGAACAGCAGTAAGTCTTTATTCAAGTTAGGCTTCCTTTTCATTGGGCTATCTTTACATTTTTTTAAAGATAGAAACTTTCGTAAAAGTTAACGCAGTGATACCGCTCTCACAAATCCAATTACTACCTTTACCCGCCAGGTTTATAGAATTTGCAACCTACAATCTGGAGGAACACTACTCTTTACAGCGCCAACGATCTAGTAGACTCAGGATCACAATCCATATTTGCTCCTGAGAATATGAAAATCTTTTTGAAGTTACCTACATGGAACGATTTAGTTCATGAAGCCAATTTCTCAACGAGAAATCAAAGAAATGTTGCCCTCCAAATTCGACCCCAGCTTTAAATTGGAAGTTTTGGGTCCAGTTTTAAAGACCCACAGCACATTCAAAGTTATCTGGAATAGTTTTAGCTATTTTTTCTGATTACAGTGACTGCCAGCTGTACTATGTGAAAAATTCTCAGCCAGAGAACATCATAAGCTAATCAAGGGCAAATCAACAGCATATTTATTAAGCTTTCATAACTTTGCTGGCAGTAAATTAAAACATGGTTTGCAATTAATTACGACTGCCAAAATAGGTTAGGGAACCCATTATACCTGATTTGTTTTTATTTTGCTGCGAACACATTAAATTATAACAGCACCATGTAAAACGGCTTACAGATTTAACATGCCCTCCATGTGAAATTTGTTTATATGTATCCATAAGCTTCATTTTATTTGTTTAACATATTAGCAGATCTCCGACATTTTACTGAATATTCGACTTCTATCCATTTCGTGTTCATCTGATTTGTCCATTTCCATTGCTCCCACTCTCTCATAAAATTTTTCAATTTCCTTTTCCAATTTCTTGCTGTCATAGCTTTTGAACAATTCATCCAGTTTTTTGGCCTCGGGAGTAGCATCTTCCTTTTCATATTTGTCCGTAAGCTCAACGAATTTCTCTAATAAGTCGATCGACTTATAGTAGCACACGCCTTCCTCATTTTTAAATTCTTCATATGCGGAAATATATTCTTCTAGATCTTCCTTGTACGTTGAATAGACTTCAGTCTGTGGCATTTGTTTGCGCACCGACTTTACCATTGGTCCGGTGGCATCAGCCAATTGTTTTATGAAATCTGCTACGACTTCAAAACCTTCTGCAGTTATTTCACGTTTAACTCTTCCCAGGACTGCGGCAAGCGAAACCTTCAATATAGATTAATATTATGGCAAAATGAAATGCTTATCGACATGATATTTACCTGGCTTAAATCGGCGAGGGATAACATTAGGAGAAATAATTTCATTTTTCACAGAAAGGTGACTATACTTTAGGAAAAGTGATACTGCCATAATAAACGGAATTGCAAATTATTTATATGAACATAGCCAATAGGAACACAAGAAATAGCTGTGACCAAAAAATTCTTATCTGCTAAAACGCAAAGTTTTTACTATCAGTGAGTTGCTCCTAATATGGCCCGATGTCAATTGAGTTGAATGTAAACAAACAGTAACTGTACAAACACGAGTTTGGAATTTGTATGTGAATATTGGAATGATCTCCCATAGGGCTTATCTTTAGCCACATGACTCATTGAGTGATTATATCACTCAATAATTATTCTTTTTTTTTTTGTTAAATTAATTTTTCAACATCTGCCATTCAAAAATTCACGGCCCAATTTCATTGAAGTGTTTTAAGAAGTAATTTCTTGGTCAATATTTTTTTCATCGAATGTTTTAAATATCAGAATTATATTCGATGCGGTGCAAACTAAATGGTGTCCCTATAAGCTGCAAAATTTTTAAAAATTTGAACAATTGTTATTGTTTGCTATTAGAAGGCACGAGGTTATTAAAAACGGAGCGCCACACGATTGAATGAGTTCGATTGAATGAGTATTGGAGAGACAACACGAAAATGCTGATTTTGAAAAATGATTAACTCACTTGTATGATCGAAAAGCGACTCGAAAATGACTCAAATGAGTAAAAATAGACCAATTTAATATACAACAACAAAATGTAGGGGAACCGCAAATCAATCATTGAGATGTGCAAAATGTGACTAATTTTTCCGTTATTTATTATAGTATTGCGATCATCTAGAGATTGAAAAATGATTAGTCTTAAAAAGATTTAAGTCTTAAAGATTTAGTCTTAAAAGATAATTATGTATATTTTATCATATTTTGCACAGACAAGTGCTTAATAATTGAAAAAAATATATATTTTAAAAAGTGTACGTTTATCAGTTTGTTTGTATACTTATTAATTTTTATAAAGAATAATGTCAGCCAGCCAAATTAAAAAAATAGAAAAGGATGGAAAAAAGAGCTCGAAAAATTAGTTTTGCAAAAAAGAAGTTAAGCTGAAGATGTGAATAATGAAGAGAAAATGTCCAGGACCGTGAAAGAATTTTGAAGAGAACGTCGAGCCAATTCAAAATTTTACTGAAGAAAGTGCTGAAAATTAGGGGTTTTAAGAAAGTATAGAAAATAGGGTCTCTGATTGATTTATTTACTACTCTAAAAACTATTAATACTTATATATTTTTGGTAACCTATTTCCAGAAAGAGCTTATTGCAAAAACCGGCGGTGAAGGAGCCCCATAATTCTTTCGGGCTACCATTCGAAAGGTTTTTTCCGATAATTTAGTTGGAAGGGGACCAGTCTAAAGTCGAGTGCAGAAAAGTACTATTTAGTGACAGTAATCAAAAGTAAGTTTGTCTTTTTAACACGTATATAAAGAATTAGTAAAATGGACAGACTGGTACATATTTTTTATTTCAGATATTTGTTATCTCAAATACTCAATCAACGACAGGGATATGAACACAATCCTACAGAAACATTTTGTTCACGCTAGAGACCGGGTTACCGGATTGATTTTTCATTTTTTACTATATTGTTGTTGCAAAATCGTCAGGCAAAATCCCATTATTGTTGTTTTTATAAAAACAACGTTTGTTTATGAGTGGAGAACGATGGCAATGTTTACCAGGGGGTAAGGCAGGGAATACCTAGGTTTCGGAAAGAGCCACCAATCCTCATCAGTTCCCTTGTTTTTGTCTGGGATATTCTCCCCAGAAGTTATTTTAAAAATAACTTCTATGACAAAAAACATTTTTTTTTACTATATTTTTACAATGACATTTATTGAAATTACAGTACAAATTATAATTATAAAAGCTGAATTATTTTTATTTTAAATAAATTTTTATATAAAGATATATGAACAAATTCTTTTTTCATGGTACATCCGCTCATCTAGAGGAAGACTCATATGTTTATTTAGAAGAGTCGCGGGAGGTCACGTTTTTCTCTCGACAAATGAGTCTTTTATGATCAGAAAATGCGCTCATATTCCAGCTTTTTAATCGCGCAAGCGGATCAAAAAAGATTCGAATGTGATTAAAAATTTCAAAAAACGCTGAGTGGGTATTTTCTCATCGGAAAAAACAAATTTGGCAGTTCACCACTTTCGGCCAAGCGAAGCAACTGTTTAGATCTTCAATGGCTTTACCCCCATCTCATTTTTCTATATTTGCCGAATGGAATATTGCGATATGTTCAGCTCACGATACATTTTTCGGGCACTGCGACGCGGGTTTCCATCAAGTCTCTCCTTTACTTTTCGAACCATTTCTGCTGATGGTGCTGTTTTCTTCCGTCCACTTCCTTGACGTCGGGCTACACTACCAGTATCACGATAACGAGCGATGGTACGAGACAGAACAGATTTATTCACATTTAAATGCTGGAGTGCTGTAACGATAGCCACTTCTGATTTTCCAGCCAAATATAGATATCACACTTGAATTCCATCACGAATAACTTTTTTTCTGGAAAATGCTTTTGTACGCTTGTAAACAATATAATGATCTTTCACTGAAATAATTTTAACAGCTGTCGGACGAGTGGCTTAGAAATGACAGCAGAAGTTGGTTGCAGTTTTTTCAACTAACCCTGTATAGTGCAATTTAACACCTTTCGATATTTTTCTTTGCGGTTTTTTGAAGTAGATGGTTTACCCAAATAAATCCACACGACTTAAGCCATAAAAGGTTAAATTGGACACTGCATTAATGAAATGCCGCAGTATTTTTGCAAAACTGTCATGAAATGTTCATTAAAAGATCGCGTGTGTGCCAGCTAAACCGCGGCAGCAATCTGCACAATATCTTGTTCTATGCATAACATCGTTCTGTCCACTTTACAATAACGTTTCTCATTTTATTTTGTAAATATATATTTAAAAATTTCATTCTTGTTGGGACACCCTTTACATTGCTTTCGGATAAAATGTGTTATTCTAGCAAGAACCAAGCAAAAAATCTCATCAGGCTGATAAGTTGGAAATAAAAGTTTTGACATTTAGTATTGTATTGAGCGAATACCAGCGAAATTGTTTGGAGAAGACAGTTAAAATATTCAAAATATCATAAAATGGGTGATACATTTATTTTTGAAGTCATACGAAAACGTGTAATAAGATAGACAACTTTCTTCTATAGTGGTTGCTGCATAGTACGAGTTTCAATTAAAAACCTCAAAATAATGAAAATCGGGAGGTACAGTTATATAGGGGCTCGAGAAAAACTTGAACTTATATTAGATCGCTGAAAGTCAGTATTTAGAAAACTGATAATACCTGATTAATTTAAATGGGATGTGAATTTGAAAATAAGAAATAAGAGAGTCTGAAAGCACATTACCATTTAATATTTTAAATGCCATTATGATATTGAAAATTACATGTCTACTTGTTTATGTAGGCAGTAAAATTAATTTAAGTCTGTTAGCATGCAAAGCCGCAGAAATTATTTTTGCAATGATTCTGTTTTATCATAATAGATAGCATAATTAGGATTATACCATACCACTGAACCCTATTCTAGGGTAACCTTAGCAAGCGGTACAAATAATTGCTTGGTAACATACAGATCAGAGAACTGGAAATAATATAAGTATTAAAAGACAATTTTGGATCCATTAGGAGGCCCAGATCAACAAGGGATTCCACGGATGATAAAATGTTCCTGTTTATATTACATACAGTTGATACAGGAGTTGATCTTGAAAAGCAAATATATTTCAATTTTTAAAATTTAAATACATGAAAGTTTTATGGCTCCACGAAATCAAGCTATTGAGATCACATTGCAATAAACCTGGTTGTTCATTGGACTTGTGGGTTAAAAATACCTTTCGTTAGTTTCTTTGTTAGAGGAGCTATAGCTTCGGAGTCTGGAAGTTTATGCCAAGAAATAGAAGGCATTATGAAGTCGCCAAGAACTATATAATACGGTCAATGTCATTCATTTTTTTGAAAACCCGAACGAATTCTTGATAAATGACAGTGATACATATCAGAATCTGTTAATGTATGTATATGTCATCAGAATTAATTAGTTCAGATTTGACCAGTAAAGAACACCAGCACCTTTTTCACAAATACGATCATTTCAATACATTTGGCATTTTACGCAAAATATTTCACTGTTAATAATGGATGATATACGCCACCTTTCTCAGAATGCAATTATCAATGACCAAGACTGTCTGTAAATAATCGGGACAGTTTCGTATTTATTTTCCGATAAAAGATAAGTACAGCGTAATTTATTTATTTATTTTTGAAATCTAAAGTGACCTCTCAGGTGATTGAGCTACATTATCTGATCGTCCGAAATTTTTTTAACAAATGCCTTAGCAAGCTAAAATTCTTTCGATATTAGTTTTTCGGTGACAATGTTGAAAAGAAAATCTACATTTTGAGAATAACGATCGAAGTTTCTTAGTTCCTAAAGTGTTAACCTTCGATATTAGATTAGATATAATATTTAATGTCGTCATCCGAAGTGTCTGGTGCAAACCTTGAGACAAAAACCATTTTCATAGCGGGTGCCACTGACAGTGGTTTATTTCCAGCTTACGTTGCCTGTGCTGAAGTGTTTGTCGGCAAGGGTGTCCTTGCAGAAGTTGGTCTGATTTCTTTTCTCCTAACAGAGGAATCCGATAAACAAGCTTTACTCGCAAGATTAGCAGAAACTCAAAGGTTTACCACATTTTAAATTGCAAGGTTTTACTTCGACAACCTCTGCTGTGAAATAAAAGGTTCATATTTTACCGTATAAGACACTAGACAAGGTTGTAAACGGGTCATGTCGGTCAGCGGTTTCATATAGCTCCCATATAAGGGTATCTCCCGATATACAATATCGTGACGGTTAAAGCCACATTTGCCAACGAAATTGTTAAATCTTCGGTATTTAGAGTTCTAGTGGGTTATATCTCCTCTGCCAGAATAGGTCCACCTTTTCCTATAGGTTCCGTATAATGGTACCTCCAGGCATTCATATATTTCTACGATTCTGAATAACCCCGCTTTATCGCGACATTTGGTATTTTTTGGATCGGGTTTTGTCTTTTGTGGCCGGATATTACCTGTACATATATCTACGATTTACTTTTGGCGCTATATTG